TATATATATATATATATATATATATATATATATATATATATATATATATATATATATATATATAATATATGTATGTATGTATGTGTATATATATATTCTAATGGGAACTCTCCTACCAAAAACTATAGACACAAATATTTATATACAATTGGATGTACAATAAACAATAACTACCGTTTTAATCAAATCAATAAAAATTCCGATATTATATAATATACATAATTGCTATTTTTACTGATGCAAAATCGTAATATATCGCAGAGGTTTGATAGTTATATAAAACAGTACATAAGATATATTATTAAAATTTTCAATAGACACTCTCTTTACACACATACACATAAATTCATTCACACGTCTGAATTAGAAATTAATAATTTCCTAACATGACTAGTAACTTGACATAACTATCTAGTAATGCTGTAAATTACGATACATATTATATATACAATTGAATCAAGATTAATTGCCATAATCATTAATTAACTACAAAAGTTTGTTCAAACATATCATGGACATATTTTCAAAGTATCTTTCGCCCAAAAGTATAAAAAATATCATTCTACATTATAATAGCACTTACACAGAGCACGGACTTCATTCTTAGCAATATATCTCTGACCAAACAAAAATAATATTACATAGAAATAAGAATCTCTTTATTCTGTTGGTTGATTTTTAAGTACTTTGTATATCTATATTTTATGCGTGATAGAGAGAGAGAGAGAGAGAGAGAGAGAGAGAGAGAGAGAGAGAGAAATCTCCATCTTATGTAGCAGTAGCATAGTTTTAAGTAGTATAGACTTCGCTACTGTTTATCTCGTTTTACCACACTAGTCAGTATTATCATGTTATTATATTTAAGAGATACTTATCAACTATGTAAAAGATTTGTTGAAAAAGGAGAGAATTACGTAGAAATAAAGAAAAATGAAACATGATGTACTTTTCTTTTTTTGAATATAGACGAAAATCTTTATGTACGCGCAACTGTATTCTATATATTCAACGTAACAAATAACGTTGGTATAGAGGTTTCTGGGATATTAAAGGACAATCTTACAGTATACACACAATTTTGGATTAATAAAGAATACAATCACTTTTGGCAACAAGAAATATATTGAAGAGACTGTGCTTTTTATATTATTACATTTTTTTGAGCATACCATTTCAGAGAGTATTTTAACAAGAATATATCTTAAACCATTATTGAAATGACATTGTTCTGATAATATAATTCTCAATTTGTTATAATTTTTTGCTGATGCAACAAAAGCGTCACATCTTGTTACTCTTAAATTCTTATATGACAAATTTTATGAGCTTGTTTTAATCAAAACTTATATACTTGCAAAACAAGTCAAAAATAATTGATAATAATATGTGTGATACGTTATTTTATATTTTATTTTATACTTCTGACTTATAAAGTCACATAATATTAATTATATAATTACAGTTGTACATTTGGTTTAAAAACAATCTGGATACTTGTTTCTCGATACGATTTGGGACGCAGCCGATAGTCTAATGAGAGAATTTGTTTTTAATTGATTTCCAGCTTTCTCTCTTTAGAGATCATCACTTATGTTCCAAACTGCATTGAAACGTTCCAAAAGCATTGAAACCAAATGTTCATATATGTATTGTTTATAATATCATACACATCATACAACTTTCACGTTATACAGCTGCGTCTTATATGCTAATGACGATTTGTTGATTTATCCTCGATAATCAAAATAGTCTATTTCTTTATCAGGGATTTTAGAAGTTGACAACTGTGGACTCTTCACCGGTAGGACAGTCCTACACACAATACGCGTTATTTATCCATGAATTTGTCTGATAATTTTTAATACACAAGATAATTGTATGACAATCGCATAAATAGATATCTTACTTTGTAGAGCTGTTTCCCCTAGAAGTATTAAGTACCGGTCCTGGAACTTTCCTCTGCCCATTCTCCCTCTGCACTATCTCCAATAAACTATAACTTGGTAGCCAACACTGCAACGAAACGCATTCGTCAGAAAAATAACATAGGAACTCGACAGAACGAGATCTCATACCTTATCTTTTACGGCAGTCGCGACTACGTTTCTCTTCGGCTCCTCATCGTACGCCTGACTCTCGCAGCCGAAGTGGTCGCATGACTCGTGCACAAAGTGGCGCTTGTCTCTGTTCATGCTGTCGAACGAATAACTCCGGGACTTATGCTTCGACGTTTTCGCAAGCTGCACCAATTCCGTGAGCTTTTCGTGGACTATCTGGCAGAAATGCGGGTCCTTCTTGGCCCACTGTTTCATATAATCACTGTATCTCGGCATCAGCTTGCCGCTCAAGTCCGGATTGACGATCTGAAGTCCCAAAGCTAATCTTCGATTTCGCTCAATCGTTTTGCACTCATCGTTACATTCCAAAGTCTTCAACTGATTCTGCTTCTTCGCGCCTTGTCCGAAGACTTCCTCTAGATTGACGGAATGACCAAGCTGCATGTCGGCCATCTTACTGGCCAATATGTTGCTAGCTATTCTCTGATACTCCCGCGCATTGTCGACACAAGTACGGCTCATGGTTCTATGTCCACACTGGCATGTCACCTGTAATGTAACATATTTTGAACTATTAGTTTTACGATAGGTTCTTTTAAATGGACGATACACTATTCGGTTACTTTGGAAGTAATAGAAATTTAAATTGGTGGAGATAAATCGTACACATAAATGAGAGGAAGTTGTTCGTACTTTAACCATCTCTTTACAGGCCGTATCCGGGCACTTGCCATCGTGACACGGAGCAGCGCAAATATGCCCGCATAATTCTCGCGTGATGACACAAGGTTGTATACACTGCTGACCGGGTTTCTCGCAGGACCCAGAGTGGCACATTGTAATGCATTTGTGCCGGCCGCACGACAACGGTTTATTACACGGCAGACCGCACGAGATCTCGCTCACGTGGCACGCTACTGCCTTCCTCAGCTCATGCTTGCCATGACACCATCTCTGAGTTAGTACGCTGCACGGCGGGCACGTAGGCTCGCTGTGGCAGTTGTGCAGCACTTCGTGACCGCAGGCATGCTGACGAGAGCATGGCCGGTTGCAGGCGGGTCTCCTTGTGCCGCACGGAACCGGCGGATAGATCACCTCAGCACCACACTCGCAATATAGCTCGTCGAAGCTGCTTTGCCAACAAGGCATGCATCTTCCTGTTAAAGAGAAAAAAAAAGAATTCATTTCTGCATAAAATCGAATGAATTCCGGTAGTGAAATAATATACTGTAACTCTTAATATCTATCATGTACTTTTAATATATGTAATGTGTGTATGTGTCATACAGAGGTTATATTATTAATATAATTATAAATTTTATATCCCATCTCACCCATGTGACATCTCTGTTCACACTTGTGTCGACCGCAGCTCAGAGTCTTCGAGCACGGTAAAGGACAGATATGCTCGATATCGATGCAACATAGCTGATTGCAGTTGTGCTTGCCGCAAGATCTCTTCTTCTTGCAGCGCTTCTCGCAACGTGCGTCATCGGCCTTGCTCGTCAAATCTCGGCAAGCGATCTCCCGGTCCATGTTACCGCATCGACACTTGACATCACTGCTCAAGTCGCATTCTGGGCATTCGCCCGTGTGACACGATGCCTTGCAGGTGTGCGGATTACCTGCGCGAGAAAACGGGATGCTTTGGTGCATCGACTCAAAAGTAAGATAATAAAATCCTAAAAACTTACTCGGCTGGCCACACTTAAGACGCTTCGAGCAGATCTTGTCGCAAGTCGGCACGGGGTCTAGACAACTCTCTCTCTTCTCCGTTAATGGCGTCTGACCGCAACAACAGGTTGTAACTCTATCGGGCGTCAAGGAACAAGACTCGCAAGAATCCGGATGACAGATCTTCCGACAGTTGTGTTTACCGCAGTCGAGCTTTTTGTTACAGATATTATCACAGGAATACGTATCCGGAACATTGGCTCGGCAAGGCACTTCCTGAGTCTTCTTGCCACAGAAACATGCTACACGAAATCAGATCGAACGTATGTCATTTAAATCAGATGTATTAGTACTGTATTGTATCAATTGGAATATGTAATCGAGATATATTACTTTGCTGCACAGTCTTGTCGCAAGTGCCGCACTCCCCTTGGTGGCATTGTCTCTCGCAGACGTGCTTGCCACACGGTAGATCTTTGCCGCATATTGAGTCGCAGAGTAGCGGTTTGTGAGCGCTACATTGGAGCGTCTGCGAGGTTCTGCCGCAACCGCAATACTTGGTCACCATCGATACACACTGCGGGCAAGAGCCGGGATGGCAGAGCAGAGTGCATTTGTGCACGCAGCTCTTCTTCGATAGATTACGACCGCAGGTTTCGCCGCACGAATGCGCCACGTCCCGACGATTCCATTCCGGCATCTTCATTTTCCCGCAGAAGCAATAGTAATCCATCGGTACGACGGAACTGACGTTTTGGCAAGCCGGGCATCTCCAACCTTTATCTGAATAGAAAAACTGGTAAAGATTCGTAATTCGGGATATTCAAAGGGGAAACGCGCTCTCGGTCGATGTTGCTCACCGATCTGCGACGACTTGGCCCATTTTTTGATACATTTCAGATGTAAGACGTGATAACAGTTAGCGCAGGACCACACATAGTCGCTTTGCTTGATATGCTCGTAACAAACGAGACATTCCAGTGCTCCTCTGTTCAGCTGTTCCGTCAATCTCTCTCTCTGACTCGCGTCGTCATCTGCAAATAAAACAACTCAATTGCATTTGCAACAACTAAATTAAAACATTTGTAATAACAGGATATAATAACGATTATAATAACAGGTTTGTGATTTGAGCAAAATCAAAAGAAATGGTTGAGGAGGTCAATAACAGACTATGGCTCTTTCATCAAAGTACTCTTAAATGTGACTTATAAGTATATTAATGAATAATATTCAAAACTGCTAAGAGGTGTGAATTCTCCCTGAGATACAGTACCGATCTCGTATTTCTTTTGCAGATTTCTCCTCTGCGTATGCGCCGTTGTCCCGTTACTTTCTGTTCTATCCCTCCAATTCTCCACTTTCTTCTCCTTGTGATTCGTCATCTCCTCATTGTTACCGTCTTTATTGTCTCTATCGTCCAATTTCTCATTTCCACTTCTCTTGCCGTAACCGTTACCTCTAGAACCAGCCTGGTTATTGAAGCTATTCTTTTTTCCTTTGTAATTGCTCTCGTATCTTTCGCTTCTGCTGTTACCCGTGTATCTTCTCGTAATTCTACCAACGAGTTCGGGCCTGTCCGGATTGTATTTGTGATAGTTGAAGGTATTGGCGTGGTTGCTGAATCGCTTGGATTTGTCGTTCCGTTGCATGTCGCTTCTCGACGACGTGCTTTCCGAGTCATTGTTTTCGTGTGATAGCGTCTCCTCCTTAGTCGCGTTAATGTTCAAGAAGTCGTCCTCCAGAATCCCTTCAACCGAGATCTTATCCACCAGACTGCTGGACATGGACGAGCTGGTAGAGTCAGTTGCGATAGGTTTTTTGACAACGTGCTGTTCCATGCCGGATGACACGTCAGTTTGACGTCTTTTAATATTTTTTTTATAATATTTGTCATTCTGAAACTTGTTGTAACTCTTTGCACCATACGTTCTATAGGCATCCTTATAATCGGATCTTATAGACGGTGCATCCTCTGGGCTCCTTTGCTTATAATACATATTCCTCTTATTGTCATAGCGTCTTTCACCCTTGTTATATCTGTTATCTGGCAAAGACACCTCGACTGATTTTGGCCTACAACCCTGCACACTGAAGTTACTTCCACCTGCATTGTTAAAAGTGTCACTCTTGTTAAACTTGTCCTTCCTAAATTTTGCATCGCAATTTGGCACAAATTCACTGGCTGTGGGGTGTAGATTCGAGTTCACCACTATGCTGGACTGAATATCCCCTTCCGACGCGTAATTACCGGTCATCCGGTTACTCCTAGGTCTCCGATTGTAACTGTCGCGGGAGGACGATGCATTGCGTAAGAATCGAGCACCCTTCGCGGAGTGCTGCAAACTGTTCGGTACGCCGTCCACTGGGGAAGTGTTTGGCAGTATATGTTCCTGATAGGAATTTCCCAAAGGCACCATGTTCGACGGTATCGGCAGAATGTTCGTATAGAAGCCGGAGTCGGAGGTAGACCTGTTCTGCTCGTACATATGCTGACCGCCACTCGCAGGGGGAAAATAGTTCCCTGAGGCAATGTCGGGCAGGTACGCGGGGTTCCCGGTCGAGTTGCCGGTGAAATACGGCCAAGACTCTACGGCGGTGCCGGGCGCGTTCTGGCCGGAATAAACGAAATAGTTGGATTCCTCCTCCGCTGGGTACGAACCGTCCCAAGTGGCCATTGCGACACGCACAGACACGATTGCACAGTAATGCGAAATCGTGCGCGGCTAATCCGGAGCTGATTCACTGAACTCTGACGAAATCACCCCGAAACGAGATAAATGCCTCAGAGCTCTTATCTGCGAAGATATCGGACTTGTGCGGAAGAGAGAATAGCGCCGCGTCTCAGTCGGCGCAGATTGCAGATTTGAATTGCAATATGGTCACAGCCGACCGTGCGCGTGATCGATTGATTCCCTAGCTGACTGATTCTAACCTGTAAAGGATCTCTCAGGAGAGATACGTACAGTACCTACGTACTGTGTTTACGTAGCACGTTCGCCGACTCTTTGCAATTTAAACGAACAATAAGGAGAATTCGAGGAATGTACGGTACGGGTCGTGCCTCGCGCAGAGCGGAGAGGAGAGAAAGGGTTACGCCTGCCCTGTACTTTGATGTTATCGGGACGAAATAGAGGTCGGCAGTTACCATATACCTTACGCAGAACGCGGCAATGCGTGCCGCGTGGTGAGGAACAGCCGTCAGCGGCAGCCAATCAACTTTCCGCTTTTCCGGCTATAAAGGTATATACACCTGACGATACGATCGCTTTCGTCATGTTACACGGTCGGTGAGGTTAAGATGTCAGATACGCGAGAAATTCGTTGTAAATAAAGTAGGAGGAGATATTCGAGGTCGTGAGACACGCGAAATAGTAAACGGAAAAATAAGGAGCCGGAAAACAAAAATAAAGTATAATACTGTACTTTCGGTATAAAAACTCGAACGTGCGAATAACATATTGTGATACTGATCTAACCTATCGGGAACGTGTTCGATAGTAGGCAACAATAACAAAGAGAAATAAATGACAAATATGATACAACGAAATTATAAAAACACATATACATACATATCTTGTAATAATAATTAATTGGTAGCAGGTAATACAATTATATATCACATTGGGAATTATCGGGAACAAAAGCTTTTAGTGAATTATTTAATGTATCGCCTTGCAATTTAAATTACGATTGATACAAACATAAAATTACTTCAAAAATATTTTACAGTAAGTATGCATTGATTCACTTCATTCTTGTAGCAGTGTGTAATCGTTGCAAATTCACTTCTGTACCGATCCTACTTTTAGCTGCAATATGATTGATAAAGTTTATTTTTAGGACCATGGCATCTGAGGAAGTGAATCGTAATACAATAACAGTTTCTTCCGAAGAGACTGGTCAATCTGTTAGCAGTACATCACAAAGTGCAGGTAATAGCAGAGATGCAAATTCGACAAGATCGCATGAACAAGGAAGTCGACAGAGTAATCTTCTACGAATACAACAACGCAAGCAGCAAATATTTAATTGGCCACAAATCAAGAAGTTACTGAAGCTCTCGACTTATAGCGCTTGCCAAGCAGCTGAGTGCAAGTGTACCGGCTGGAAAAATGCACAACCTATCATCAAGTCACAAAGGAGCGATGTTCAGCAACAACCAATTATCAATTTTTTGAACCCATGTAAAACATGTGCTCATGCTTTAGAAAATCATATCACACACCTAAAGAGCCAAACTGAAGAAAAACTCAATAAATTGTTGAGTATGGCTATTGATGCTGATAATCTTTTCATGGGTACACACAGAGAGGAGGATGACGATACTAAGAAAATATACTTTTATTTGTACACCTTATTGAGAAAGTCTATTTTGTCAATGACAAAACCGAATATAGAAGGCCCATTAGGACATCCGCCATTTGAGAAACCCAGTATAGCGAAAGCAGTGATGAATTTTGTGTTGTACAAATTCAGTCATCTTTCCCCGAGGGAATGGCAAGCTATGTGCGAAATGGCAAAGATGTTTTTGCACTGTCTGAATCATTGGAACTTTGAAGCACCAAGTGCTAAAAGGACAATCAGTGTGGAACGAGCACCTGCTTACAAAATTAATTATACCCGCTGGCTAGTCTTTTGTCATGTACCCGCGTTATGCGACTCCTTCCAACATCACGACACTCCTGTAGCCTTCGGCAAGACCCTAATGCAAGCTGTATTTAAATCAGTTTGTAGCCAGTTAATTGACAAGTGCCACAGTGAGAGAGACAAAATAACGCCAGAGAAGCGGGTTCTAGTCTTAACGCATTTCCCCAAGTATGTTGTAAATTCTCCGTCTCAGAATGTCTCACAAGTGTCATAACGATTATATGTTCTTTCAGGTTTCTCTCTATGTTGGAAACGGAGGTTTATTCCGACAATTCACCTATCTGGGATCCCGAATTTAAGCAACAACCGCCACCTCATCTGCAAGCTGCCTTGGAATCGAAGGGACATCAGGCGAGGAAAGCAGGAGAATTCGAGAAGGTCACCGTCACGTTAAATGAAAAGGATAACTACACAACGATAAATATCAGTCCTGGGGTAAAGAAGCTTCACGAGAAGCGTTGCCATTCCGAGTCAGGGCGTTCCGACTCGAAGAGACGGAAAACCGAAGAGGCTTTTGAGGATCTACCGAACGAGACTATCGCAAAGATCGTTGCGACTATCAATAACCCGAATTATATGTGCGGCCCCGATATGGTATTCCCACCTGATGTTCCACGCGATGAAACCGCTAAAATTGAGGAGAGCAGAAAGATAATAGAGTTTCACGTTGTTGGGAACAGTCTCACTCAGCCCGTGTCTAAACAAACTATGCTCTGGCTGATAGGATTGCACAATATATTTAGTCATCAGTTAGTTAGAATGCCCAAGCATTATATATCCCAATTTGTTTTTGATCCGTAAGTACTAAAGTATTTTTATCAATTAACTAGTGAAAATCATTATGAGTTGTATTTTCTTTATTTTGCAGGAAGCACAAGACGTTAGCCTTGATAAAAGGTGGGCGGCCGATTGGCGGCATTTGCTTTCGCATGTTTCCAACGCAAGGATTTACCGAGATAGTCTTTTGCGCGGTTACGAGCCAAGAGCAAGTGAAAGGCTATGGGACTCATTTAATGAACATGCTGAAAGATTATCACATAAAAAATAACATACTGCATTTCTTAACGTTCGCGGACAAGTTCGCTATCGGATACTTTAAGAAACAAGGATTTAGCAAAGACATCAAGCTACCCAAGTCGGTTTATAATGGATACATCAAGTACTACGTAAGCGCGATGTTGATGCATTGCGAGCTGAACGCGAAGATCGTGTATACCGAATTCACATCAGTCATCAGGAAGCAAAAGGAAATCGTTAAGAAGCTGATTCATCAGAAGCAGCAGGAAATACCGAAGGTGCATCCGGGCTTGACGTGTTTCAAGGAGGGTGTAAAGGGTATCCCCATCGAGTCTATCCCAGGGATTCACGAGACTGGTTGGAAAAGTTCTGCTCAAACCAGAACAAGAGGTTTGACAAAGGGATCGCAAGGTCCGGAATCAATAGACCCCAGCCAGGATATGGCGGATTCTTTGTACAACTCGTTAAACAGCGTTCTCAACAGTGTCAAGAAGCACAGTACAGCCTGGCCCTTTCTCAAACCTGTCGACAAGAACGATGTTCCGGATTACTATGATCACATAAAGTATCCTATGGGTGAGTTCACGAAAAGTATTTATATCTCGATTAAGGTTCCTGGCTATTCGCCACGGAACTCTTCATCGATAATGTCAGAAGCGAGAAAACGCATGCCCGAAATTTTTGCGAAATACGCCAAAATAAGAGTATATGTCTATAAAGTAATTCTTAGGATCGATGGAGCACATTTGTAAAATATTCCGAAAACTATCCTTTTGTTCTAACAATCAATAAGTAAAATTAAGATGACACCTTTCTTTTTAGCTTACCTTGTGATTTCACCATGTTAATTTCACAGTTATTTATTACTTCTTGGAGTAAAAGTTGCAAGTATTTCTGACATTATAAATCGCGCATGTCCGCGACAAATAGCCAAGAGTCTTAATATCGCTCATATTAATCTCGCTCATATTAATCTCGCTCGTTTAATCCAAGCGCAATTGCAAGAAAAGCCAATCGAGAGCATAACGCGTAGGGAGAACTAAAGGTAAATTTGTTTATGTTCCAGATCTCAAGACTATGTACGATCGTCTGAACGCGAAATACTATGTAACGAAGAAATTGTTTATTGCGGACATGATGCGCATCTTTACAAACTGTAGATTATATAACAGTCCTGACACTGAGTATTATCGTTGTGCCAATTCCTTGGAGAAATACTTTCAAACGCGTATGAAGGAGGCTGGTCTATGGGATAAGTAAAACGCTCTTGAGAATGTTGCTATAATAACGTTGGCAATTGACACTTCCTAATTTATTCTCACTACTTGAAGTCCATTTGTTTAACAGTGAATATCTGTGCACATCACTGTGATACTGCTTTTTGTGCAGTATTTGTACAAAGATAAAATAATATCTATCTGTGTGGAGGTGCACGTTGGAATAATTGAGAAAGAGGGGAAGAGGATCATTAGGAATATATTTGATATTTCGCCATGAGCTGTGCATAAAATCTCTGGAAACTTATGCACATGTAATAGCCAAAAGAATGTTTTTTCAAGTTATTCAGACTGTTTAATCCTTCTCCGAATGCTTTCTATCCTGATGTGCATCTTTTGTTAATTAGAGAGATATGTATGTATGTATGTACATATGGACACATATGTATATAAGTGTATATAACTACAAAGTGGTGGATGTCGCTTGTCTAATTTCCATCAAGTATTTTATATAACATGACTTGTGAATGTGCAGTTGTATGTATGTGATATTTTTACTACCAGCACCATGTCGTTAAAAATATTGGAAATGGTTTTTGCGCTAAAACCTCAGATTGGACAGGATACTTAACTTTGCATCTTAATTAGTTGAACAATTAATTTGTTAACTATAATACAATGATTGTGTAACAATGTTCTAATAAGTGATTAATTTATACGAGACTACTCACAGTAACATATGCTGGTTTGTAAAATATCATTTTGATGAAATAAAGCTTGTTATCCGCAAACAATGAAAATAATGATCGTGATTCGCAATACAGTGAAACTTGCATTATTGAACCAATAAAAAAATACTCATTGCAGAATTAGGTTTTTTCTATAACTATATGATTCTTCTCAATAGTTCTAAGCAGTATAGGTTCATCGGGTGCATTCAACGAATACAACGGTTGCATAACAGTTGAGTAATTTGTAATTGTTTTAGATTTAGCAGTCTAATAGTAAGGACCAATAAAAAAATCTCTAACACTGATCGCTTTATTCCGCTGAACGCAGTTATTGTAAAATTCAGAAGATATAGATAATTATTCCACATGACAATCTCTGTAAAATAATGCTAAAATTAACAGAATATCTTTGTATCTGTCTATCTCAATCGGGCATGAACTGTACCTCTACCGCACTCCTCTTACCGCGCGTCATATGCGATTATTTTTCTATCTTCTGTAATTAATAACTCAACATGTCGTGTGGTTGTTCACAAAACAGTAGAGAAATTTTTTTTCAGTTCAGTTTGAGCAAATCTACACGTATATACATACGAAAGTTTTATGTCATCATTAAGACTCCTGGGGAGTCGCATCATCCATCTCTTTTTAATGACGTCAGAAGCGAGAAAACGCATGCTAAAAATTCCTGCAAAATACGTCGAGATAAACAGATATATCCACAAAACGACATTTGCGATCGATTAAGTACATCTCTAAAATACTCCGTACACTTTCCTTTTGTTCTAACAATCAACAGATAATTATAAAATAAATGTGACGTGCAATCGTCTTTTCTAACCTAATTTCCTCATTATCTTGTCATATTAATTTTCCGATTATCTATTGATTTTTAGAACAAAAGGAAAGTGTACGGAGTATTTTAGAGATGTACTTAATCGATCGCAAATGTCGTTTTGTGGATATATCTGTTTATCTCGACGTATTTTGCAGGAATTTTTAGCATGCATTTTCTCGCTTCTGACGTCATTAAAAAGAGATGGATGATGCGACTCCCCAGGAGCCTTAAGCACCCTACAGTATAGTAGTGCAAAACAGTGCGGATGTAGCCCAACAGTGCATTGACGAAATAAATGCTCTTCAATAGAAAAAACACTTATTTCCTGAAACTATAATTCTGAAATTCTCTGCGTGAGAGAGAAATGCCGCGTCAGTGGCACGACTGCAAATTTGAATTGCAGTACAGTTACAGTCAAACGTGCGTGCTTGAGATCGATTGTTTTTCAGGCAGTCTAACTTAAATTACATTCCAAAACATCTTTTTCGAGGAAAATTTTATTTTTAAATTTATAGTTCATGTTACATACACTATAGACTTAAGAGCAAAATTTTCCTCGGAAAGGATGTTTTGGAAATCCTACAAGACTCTCACAGGAAAGGCACGTACGCTACTTTGACATTCGTCGTCCCGTCACAATTTGAATGAACAACGACGAGAATCCGGGGAATGTGCCATGCACATATGTAATGGCTGCGTTCAGCAGAGAAAGCTGCTTTGCAACTGTGTAAAATTCGTGAATCTGATTGGAATATGCTCTTAATTTTGGTTAAATCCAAAAGCATGTACCAGTCAGATTCACGAATTTTACAACAGTTGCAAAACAGCTTTCTCGCTGAACCAGAGAGAAGTCTGAGTGCGGCCACGCCATATGTTTGGGCGACACCGATTTTCACGCTGGTGCGATACGCCCATTTTTCAGGTGGACTACGTTCCTTACTCCCATTTTCAGACAATGCCGGTAAAGCAGCGATTCGGTGCGTGTCTATTCTACGCCCATTTCCTGGCGATTCGTGTCCGCAATTATGTTAAGCGCATAATTGCGTGGTTAAAAACATGGACCATTGCGAACGAACTTATATTCCATTCAACATGCACATGATCTTTTCTCTTTACGCACTGTCATAAATTTATTTACGTGTATATGCGTACGAAATATCATATGTACGTGTATATGTGCAGGAACCTCCCTTATAGAAATATCATATTCAGTATTTTTAATACTGAAAATAAGTAATTATCAATGATTCTTAGTATGATATTTCTATAAGGGCTGACCGCGACGCCGAAAAGCACGCCCACTTCAATGCTCTACATAACGCAACGATATTAATAGCATTAATATAAAACATTAATTCCAGTAGCATAAACTGTGAAAAACCAGTGCTCTTTAAATAACATCAATATCTTTCGTGGTTGCCGAGAAATAAGGAATAAATGCTAGCGGCATCCCTTATAGAAATATCATACTAAGAAATACTGAAAAATTATTAGTGATTAAATATTACCAGTAATTCAGTAATTTTTGGCCAGTACTTAATTTCTGGTGAATACTGATAATAAAATCACTGTTAAATATTGATAGTAATCAAATACTACTGAGAATTATTATGCGAAGGTGAAAAATGAGAAAATCATAATGTTTACAAAAATATACTTATATTCCTAATTTTCTCATGTCTCATAAACTACTAGATATCGAAGGTTGTCAACACATTCCAAACTTTCATGAATCCTTCCTGCGATAAATTTCGATCCCAAGCGGTATACCACTGTCACCCATCCATGTCCTGACCGCATTAAACTGTTGCTTAACCTGACGATCGGCGCGCACGCGGTGACTCTGATGACTCCAACGATGTTCTTACAATTCATGCTTATATAGGGTGTTTACGTTAAATCGAGTACGAGTTAGTTCCACTAGGGTCGAAAAATGTAATAAGCACAACCATCTAGTATCTTCATGGTTCAAGACAACTCAATACTGCTTTCCGATGCTCGAGTAGAGTTAATTAGAGTTAGTTAGAGTTAACTAGAGTAGCGTAGCGGATAACGTGAGCATTAGGTAGTTGATTTTCAAAAAATGTCAGTTATTAATAAGTTTAATCTCATATAGTATGTTTATACCAATCGTTTAATATGCGTACAAATTAGTAATTTTATGTTAAATTATTTTGATTTCGGCGATGTATATAAACAACGTCATATTGAAGTAGTGCAATATTAATTAGAAACACGTATCGTATTAATTGAATATATTGCATCGCCGAAATTAAAATAATTAGATATAAAGTTATTAATTGATATGCGTATTAAACGTTCGGTATAAACATACTACATGAGATTAAACTTATTAATAACTAACATTTTTTGAAAATCAACTACCTGATGCTCACATTATCCGCTATGCTATTCTAGCTAACTCTAACTACCTCTACTCGAGCATCGGAAAGCAGTACTGAGTTGTCTTAAACCATGAAGATACTAGATGGTTGTGCTTATTACATTTTTCGACCCTAGTGGAACTAACTCGTACTCGATTTAACGTAAACACCCATAATATATCCTTATATTGTTCACAGTATATTATAACATATCTAGCAAACACCAAATAATAGTTACATAATTTTTACTTGTTTATTGGATAATTTGTTGATAGATATTGAAATAATGCAACATTCGATATGCGATGAATATTGATGTAATGTAGTGAACCACTGATAATTACTTTTACATTTTTAACAAAATGTTATAATGATTAATCCAACAAAAAAAAAATTAAAAAATCCAAGAAAATCCAAAATAAACAAATCGAATTACTAAATTTTGAGAGAAACTTTTAAAAAATATTATTTAAAACAATAGTGTTGTTTCATCAAATGACATGGTTTCCTTGAACGAAATAAAAGTTTTATTTTCATCATTTTAAAAAATGATATTTCGTTTAAGAATATAATATTTTAATGAAATAAAAAAAAACCACAAAATTAAACAAGTACGAATATTAAATCTAAAGAAAGTATTTTCTCCGAAAAAAACGGTATAAGAAGTGTAAAAAATATGCAATAAGACAAATTAATGATTGCCACTAACGAGTGCTATTCTAAGTACTATTCTATAAGTATTATAGATGTAAAACATTACTGAATTTGAAATATAAGTAACAAAAATAATTAGTAAATAAATAAAATATATTATATTCGTAATATTTTTTTAAAATATTACTGCAATATTGCTAAAGTAATATTGCAAATTAATGTCACTGCAAAGTCTCTGCAACATTACACTGTAATCTTGCAACGTTGTAGCAATGTTGCTGCAAGCTTCTGTGCTGTATGGGTGATTTACGTGGACAATCAACAGAGTGATGAATCCGCTTTTGGGTCACTCTGCTTTTCACCGAGTTTACCCTGGGTCTCCGGAGTCTAGCGAAATGATCGATGAATCTGGCGAGAAATCAGCGCTGCTCATTCTCCTGGCTCAATCTCGGGTGTTCCGGCGCTGCGCGGGATGATGCGACCCGCGATTCCAAATTTTGATTTCGCAACGTTCGAAAAATGAAGGGTAGGCAAAAGTAATTGCAACACAGTCGGATTTTACGACTAATATATTCCAAATAAGTACACGAAAATTACCAGAGACTAATTATGAAAAAAATAATCACCTTCTCAACAAATGCGCGCGTTTTATATGTCGCTTTGTCGCTGAGAGTCGTTTTCTGATTGGCTGATGGAGTCATGGAGATGGAAGAAATTCATCCTATCGGTATGATGTCACCGCGTCGATATCGCCGCGTCGGTCCTGAGTGGTGTTTAGATTCAGTTTTCATGCTCCTGTTTATGTTAGCAGCGGGACGTCTTATCGCAATGAGCGATTACGGTTTTTCTTATCTACAGTTGATCCATCAATTTTAAGACTCTCTAACGACACGCAGTATTCAGCGTTATAATTTTAACTATAATATTTAACGTGCGCGAATATACATATGCGCACGTACTTACGTCTAGTAACATAGGTATAAAATATCTAGTGATGTCTGAATCAGACAAGTCGGCCTCCGATCTATATTAATATATTATTAATGTTTCAAAATAAGTTCGGACGTTACAGTGGAACTAGTTCTTAGGGTCTCTAGTTCCAGAATGGCGTTCGGAAACGTCATCCGATGCACCCGTTGCTTTCGAGTGAGAGAGATACGAGAGTGAGATAAAAAGAGAGGGAGAGCACCCGAGTGATGTTTCTGAACGCATCCCAGGTAGTCTATGGGTGTTTACGATAAGTTGTCGGATTGGAAATCCGACTGAACAGTGGTACTCAACCGACCCATTTCAAAAAATTCCCTAGCTTAATCAGATTTTAGTCAAATCTGTCTCAGCAGTAATCGGATTAGCTTCATAGCGACGTGAGGTGATACTTTGTCCTCAAGAGAAATAAAAAGATAAAAGTCGGTAGGTACGTAATTATTATTCTAATGATTAGCGCGTATCATTTTCCTTATATATCAATATATGAATAAATGATCTGTTACACTTTTACTGATATTAAATTAATGAAAAGAAGTATTAGTAATCTCACGTATAGTAAACATTAACCTATAATAATATTGGATTTATGTTATAATTTCATATGTAACAAAATACAACAGTATAAAATCTGTCAAATTAACATTTCAAACATACTAATTTTAAAATATATTAAGGACATTTATGCATTTATATATAGATACATATAAATATATGTGCTTGTATATGTGTATGTTCATATGTGTAATCTATAATTATTTACACACTTATATTTTTATATAAAAAGAATTAGATAAAAAGAATTAGATAAAAAGATTATATAAAAAGAATATTTATAGATTTTTATAGATTGTGTATATATATATATATATATATATATATATATATATATATATATATATATCCCAGACAGCATAAGAACTTCTGAGAACGTTCCAGGGATATTCTGAGGATATTGGAACGTTCTCAGAACGTACTCAGGACGTTCCCTGGATATCTGTACTGTTAGGGATATAGATTACATATATATTATAGATTACACATATGAACATACACATACACAAGCACACATATTTATATGTATCTAAATTACATATTTATATGTATATAAATGCATAAATGTCCTTAACATATTTTAAAATTAGTATGTTTGAAATGTTAATTTGACAGATTTTATACTGTTCTTATTTTGTTACATACGAAATTATAACATAAATCGAATATTATTATAGGTTAATGTTTACTACACGTGAGATTACTAATACTTCTTTTCATTAATTTAATATCAGTAAAAGTCTAACAGATCATTTATTCATATATTGATATATAAGGAAAATGATACGCGCTAATCATTAGAATAATAATTACGTACCTATCGACTTTTATCTTTTTATTTCTCTTGAGGACAAAGTATCATCTCACGTCACTATGAAGCTAATCCGATTACTGCTGAGACAGCTTTTACTAAAATCTGATTAAGCTAAGGAATTTTTTGAAATGGATCGGTTGAGTACCACTGTTCAGTCGGATTTCCAATCCGACAACTTATCGTAAACACCCTGTAGGTTTGTTCGGGTCGCATGCCCTAAAGTGCTTCTATTCGCTCCAACGCATTCTGATTGGTCCGCGTGATGACGTAAACCAATCAGAGTGCGTTGGAGCGAGTAGGAACATGTTGGGGCATGCGACGCGAACAAACCTCATGGTGGAGCAAATGTCACGCATGCGCTTTACACAGACAGAACACTGATATTGAACAGATAAAGACAGACGAGCATTGTCTGCACCGTAGCACCGACGAGGTACTATAAAAGACCGTCAGCCTTACGGGCTTTAGCGACCCCGAGAAATTTGACCGTACATTTTTATATTTCACCTTTTTCTTATATCCTATATTTTTACTGTTATCCTACTTACATCGTCTTGTCTTTTTCTACATCTATCAATACGATTTTTTTTTTTACGTCTGTCAATACGATTTTGGTATGCGAATAATGCTCCGTTCAGTGGGAGCGTCCCGATTGACTACGGTACAATTGGACACAACCAACCGATGAAAAGAATTATCTAATGAATTACTAGGTCGAACCAATCATTACAATCTGTGTCCAATCATATCGGGTCCCACCTCCATCCAGTACTATATGTCGATGGTGTACTTTTACGAAAAAAACCCTCAATTTTGAGTGTAAACACCCAAAAACTGGGGATAAACACCTAAATTTGAAGATTTTTTCGTATTTTTTTCGTAAGAGTAGTCACACGGACAGACAGAAGCGGCTTTGTGTGAAAAACGGTCAGTATTGTCATCGACTTCAATTACCTCCGGGCCTTTTGGCCAGGTCGAAAATTTACTCAGGGCTGACAGTCTTTAGTAATATCTCGTCGGTGATCGTAGTGTTGCGGTATTGCTGAGAGCTACTCTGTCCATATAGTGTGATATAGTGGTATTATATATATAATGCCATGCGAGTCGTGTTCCAGCGAAAGGGAGAGAGATCTGTGTGTGCCTCGTACTTTAATATCATCGAAACTACAGTGATTAGTCGACAACGAGTGATTGAAACAAACAGTGTCGATAAAAGAATAAAGGTGCAGTTAGATATTTAACTAGTTACATTACGATTTCAATCACTGCTTGACATAAATTTTAATTGATTTTAAAACATTTTTAGGTAAGTTTGAGATTTAATTGTTTTTTTTTAATAATATTTGATTACAATACAAAATTGACAAATATGTTAATCTTATTGTGAACTGTGACAAATATATTATTCTTCTTTCTTTAGTATCATGACATCTGAAGAAGTAAATCGAAATACAATGATAGTCTCCACTGAAGAAATTGGACAATCTGTTATCAGCAATCCTCAGAATGCAGGTAACAGCAGGGACACAAATTCAGCAAAGCCGCATGAACAGGGAAATCGACAAAACAATCTTCAACGAATACAACAGCGCAAACAGCAGATGTTTAATTGGCCGCAAATAAAAAAATTGTTGAAGCTTGCGACATATAGTGCTTGCCAAACAGCTGAGTGCAAGTGTACCGGCTGGAAAAATGCACAACCTATCATAAAATCACAAAAGGGTGATATTCAGCAACCTGTTACTAATTTTTTAGATCCGTGTAAAACTTGCACTCATCCTATGGAAAATCACATCGCTCATCTACCAACTCAATCTGAGGAAGAGCTCAATAAATTGTTGGGTATGGCTATTGATGCTGATAATATTTTTATGGGTATACATAGAGAAGAAGATCCCGATACTAAAAAGATATATTATTACTTGTACACTTTATTGAGAAAATGTATTTTGTCTATGACAAAACCAACTATAGAAGGCCCATTGGGACAACCACCATTTGAGAGACCCAGCATAGCAAAAGCAGTGATGAATTTTGTTTTGTACAAATTCAGTCATCTGTCTCCCAGAGAATGGCAAGCTATGTGCGACATGGCGAAAATGTTTTTGCACTGTCTGAATCACTGGAACTTTGAAGCACCCAGTGCCAGAAAAACAACGATTAGTGCAGAAGAAGCGCCAGCTTATAAAATTAATTATACTCGTTGGCTGGTCTTCTGTCATGTACCAGCATTTTGTGATTCTTTGCAGCATTACGATACTCCTGTTGTCTTTGGCAAAACTCTATTGCAAGCTGTGTTCAAGCCAGTTTGTAGCCAATTAATCGATAAATGCCATAGCGAAAGAGACAAAATAACACCAGAGAAGAGGGTTCTAGTCTTGACGCATTTTCCTAAGTATGTGTTATGCCTTTTTATTTCTTCTAGAGTAGTCTGTTGTGATTATCACAACAAGTGTATTATCTTTTATATTCCAGGTTTCTCTCAATGTTAGAAGTAGAGATTTATTCAGATAGTTCGCCTATCTGGGATCTCGAGTTCAAGCAACAACCACCTTCTCATCTACAAGCTGCCTTGGAATCGAAAGGACACCAAGTGAGAAAAACGGGAGAATTCGAGAAAGTTACCATCACGTTGAATGAAAAAGACAATTGCACGACAGTAAATATCAGCCCTGCAGTAAGAAAGCTTCATGAAAAGCGTTTCCATCCCGAGTTGGGACGTTCCGATGCGAAGTGACGGAAAACCGAAGAGGTTTTCGAGGACCTACCGGAAAAAACTGTCGCCGAGATCGTTGCGACTATCAATGATCCTAATTACATGTGCGGCCCTGATGCAGTATTCCCACCTGATGTTCCACGCGATGAAACCGCTAAAATTGAAGAGAGCAGGAAGATCATAGAGTTTCACGTTATTGGGAATAGTCTCACACAACCCGTATCTAAGCAAACTATGCTCTGGCTGATAGGTTTGCATAATGTATTCAGTCATCAGTTGGTTAGAATGCCCAAAGATTATATATCTCAATTCGTATTCGATCCGTAAGTTCTAAAATATTTTTACCAGTTTTTGCTGGAAACCGCAATTACGAATGGTAATTTCTTTACACAGGAAGCACAAGACGTTGGCTCTGATAAAAGGTGGTCGACCAATTGGTGGCATCTGTTTTCGCATGTTTCCGACCCAGGGATTTACGGAAATTGTTTTTTGCGCGGTCACGAGCCAAGAGCAAGTAAAAGGGTACGGAACTCATTTGATGAACATGCTAAAAGATTATCACATCAAGAACAATATTCTACACTTTTTGACATTTGCGGACGAATTCGCCATCGGATATTTTAAGAAGCAAGGTTTCAGCAAAGATATAAAATTACTGAAATCCATGTATCAAGGATATATTAAGGATTATGAGGGTGCAACGTTAATGCACTGTGAACTAAATGCTAAAATAGTATACACCGAGTTTACGGCAGTCCTGAGGAAGCAAAAAGAAATCGTAAAGAAACTAATTTATCAACGGCAACAAGAGATACAAAAGGTTCATCCTGGCTTGACGTGCTTTAAGGAAGGTGTAAGAGGCATTCCCGTAGAATCAATTCCAGGTATTCGTGAAACTGGCTGGAAAAGTTACACGCAAACTAGGACGAGAGGAGTGGCGAAAGGTGCGCAACAAAGTTCTGAATCTATGGATACATGTGTGGACATGTCGGATTCTTTGTACAACGCTTTGAACAATGTTCTAAATACCGTGAAGAATCATAGCGCGGCTTGGCCGTTCTTAGAACCTGTTGATAAGGACGAAGTTCCAGATTACTATGATCATATTAAATATCCTATGGGTATGTCCAAAGAAATATCCATATACGATTTATGAGGTTATAAAATAATTAACTGATATGTTTATGAAATAATGTGTTTATATGTGATAAATAATGTGTGATATAAAATAATAATAAATCAATAACTAACAACTAGTCTCTTCGTATTGCAGATCTCAAAACTATGGAGGATCGTTTAAAAACCAAATATTATACAATTAGGAAGTTATTTATAGCGGACATGACGCGAATCTTTACCAATTGTAGATTATATAACAGCCTCGATACTGAATACTATCGATGCGCAAATGCTCTAGAAAAATACTTCCAAACTCGTATGAAAGAGATTGGTCTGTGGGACAAGTAGAATTTTTAAGTTTCTTACGATGAATGAAGATAATATACAGGATATTCGGTAACTCATGAAGGAGTCGCCATCACGTGTATGATCATTCACGAATTTTCTTTGATCAATAACTTGGAATTTTACGTGTTGTTTGCAAAATGGTAGAGGAATTTTTTATTAAGTTTGACCTAATCTACCTGTTCACTACTGCTTCTCTGTGAGTTACCGGAGATACACATCCTGCATACTTTTCAATAATCAATACCAACTATGCGAATAATGTTTTCTAATTTATTACCTATAAAACTAGTTATTTTATAAAAAAAATTGTTTTTATAAAAACAAAATAGACAAAAGAAAAAGAGTAGTGAAAAAAGAATGCAGCTTTTTTTGGTGTATTGTATATACGAAAGTGGAATAAAAAGTACATTTGTGAGAAAGCTCAATTTTTAATTAGATCAGATGAGAGAAATGTTTACTTTTTTTTTTTCCACTTGTTTTTTTTTTATTAAGTTAGGATAAAGTTCGTACTGTATGTGTGTGTGTGTGTTCTTATAAAAAAAGTTATTGTTTTTTGTATTTACTTACATTTTTACTTAGTAACATATGAATTTTCCAACAGCTTCTAGCTCTTTTATTCCAACAAAAATTTGTAGAAATTGTAGATTCATATTTTAAATTCTTAAATTGAATTTATAAATTAAAGACTTCTTATATATATTATTATATTGCGGAGAATTTTAAATTTCTGACAGCAGACGATAATGCCCTCTGTATAGCTCGTAGTGTGTATCTCTCAGGGCATGAAACAATTCACATAACCTAATCTGTCAGAAAATTGTGTTTTAAATTAACAACAATAGCAATAAACGTAGAAAATTGTGAAAAATATTGGTCGTAATGGTGTAACAGATATCCTAATACCATCCGTTTAGATAAAACTGTCGTGATTACAAGTATTTTTTGTCGAATATTCGAACCAACAACAGTCAAAGGAATCATTAACTCTATTGCGTTGAAGTGAAATTCAATTTACCGATTTTATATAAAGAACATCTTAAGAGGTAAGCTACTATATTCATATGTATATTAATTTGTATTAAAAAATTATTGCTGAGCTGTGTAAATACATGATTAACCTAATCTAATGCATACGAATATAATTTGTTTACATGTGTGTAGAATTTGCAAGAGAAAATAATACTGCTCAGTTTTACATAACATATAATAGTATATTACAATGACTTTTCTCTTTAAAGATGGCATCAGAGGATATCAATCATCACACGATAGTAGCCTCAGCAGAAGAAACTGGACAATCTGTCACCAGTACCTTGCAACAAGATGGTAATAGAGATCAAAACACAACTACCAGACAGCATAATCCAGGAAGTCGACAAAATAATCTTCAAAGGATACAGCAACGCAAGCAACAAATGTTCAACTTGCCTCGGATCAAGAAACTATTGAAACTTGCGACTTATAGCACTTGCCAAATGGAAGAGTGCAAATGCACCAGCTGGAAAAACACGCAACCATTCGCAAGACCACAGAGAAGTGAGACACAACAACCTGTAATCAACTTTTTTGATCCATGCAAGACATGTAATCATTCTTTAGAGAGTCACATTACGCATCTAATGTCTCAGCCTGAAGAAGAAATTAACAGATTGCTGGGAATGGCTATTGACGCTGACAATATATTTATGAGCATACACAGAGAGGAAGATATTGATACTAAGAAAGTATATTACTATTTATATAAATTGTTGAGAAAATGTATTATATCTATGACAAAGCCGGTTGTGGAAGGCCCATTGGGACAACCGCCATTTGAAAGACCTAGCATAGCGAAAGCTGTGATGAATTTTGTCTTGCATAAATTTAGCCATTTATCACCGAGAGAATGGCAAGGTATGTGTGACATGGCGAAAATGTTTTTACACTGCCTGAATCACTGGAATTTCGAAGCACCCAGTGCTAGACGAACGACAGTCAATGCGGAAGAAGCTCCGGCTTACAAAGTTAATTACACCCGTTGGCTTGTCTTCTGCCATGTGCCTGCATTTTGCGACTCCTTAACACATCACGATACTCCGCTAGCCTTTGGGAAGACTCTGCTGCAAGCTGTATTTAGGCCAGTATGTAGACAGTTAATGGACAAGTGCCACAGCGAAAGAGACAAAATAGCGCCGGAAAAGAGGGTTCTGGTTTTAACGCATTTCCCCAAGTACGTCCGAAATTTCCTTTTATATTCTTGTACTCATGTCGCCTGGGTTAGTTAATTCACATCTATTTCATCTATTTCATCTATTATATTCTCAAGGTTTCTCTCGATGTTGGACGAGGAGATTTATTCCGACAACTCGCCCATCTGGAACCCTGATTTTAAACAAGCACCACCTTCTCATCTGCAAGCCGCCTTGGAATCGAAGGGGCACCAAGCAAGAAAGACGGGAGAATTTGAGAAGGTCACAGTCACCCCGAATGAAAAAGATAATTTTACAACGATAAATATTTGCCCTGGGGTGAAGAAACTTCAGGAGAAACGTCCGAACACGGAAGGGCGACCTGATGCGACGAAAAAACGGAAGATCGATGATAACTTCGAGGATCTGCCAGATGATACCATCACTGAAATTGTCGCATCTATTAATGATACTAATTACATGTCTGGTTCTGATGCAGTATTCCCGCCAAACGTTCCACGAGATGAAACTGCGAAAATGGAAGAGAGCAAAAAAATCATAGAGTTTCATGTAGTTGGAAATAGCCTTACGCGACCGGTGTCCAAGCAAACTATGCTTTGGCTGATCGGGTTGCAGGATGTGTTCAGTCATCAGTTACCTAAAACGCCCAAAGAATATATAACACAGCTTGTTTTTGATCCGTAAGTAACATTCCGATACATAAGATGGTCATTTTGTCTAATCATTCAATAATGTTGTGTCGTTTATTATACAGCAAGCATAAAACATTAGCCTTGATAAAGGACGGTCGACCAATCGGTGGTATATGTTTCTGTATGTTTCCGAGCCAAGGTTTTACAGAGATAGTGTTCTGCGCGGTAACGAGTCACGAGCAAGTAAAAGGCTACGGAACACATTTAATGAATATGCTGAAAGATTATCATATCAAAAATAATATATTGCATTTTCTGACATTTGCGGACGATTTCGCAATCGGATACTTTAGGAAGCAAGGATTTAGCAACGACATCAAGCTACCGAAGTCAGTTTATAATGGATACATCAAATACTATGTAAGCGCGATGTTGATGCATTGCGAGCTGAACGCAAAGATTGTGTACACCGAATTCACGGCGGTCATCAGGAAGCAAAAAGAGATCGTTAAGAAACTGATTCATCAGAAGCAGCAGGAAATACCGAAAGTGCATCCGGGGTTGACGTGCTTTAAGGAAGGCGTGAGGGGTATCCCCATCGAATCCATCCCAGGAATTTATGAGACTGGGTGGAAGAGCTCCGCCCAAACCAGAACACGGGGTGTGACGAAAGGAACGCAGGGTTCAGAAACGATGGACCCGAGTCTAGAGACGGCGGATTCTCTGTTTAACTCGTTAAACAGCGTTCTCAACAGTGTCAAAAAGCACAGCGCAGCTTGGCCCTTCTTGAAACCTGTAGACAAGAACGATGTTCCGGATTACTATGATCATATAAAGTATCCTATGGGTAAGTTTTCACGGAAAAGTTCGTATCTATTATTCACAAAATTGTCCAAAGATATATCTACCGATTAATATATCGCGCGTACGCTTTGGAATGAGAGTACAATCGTAAGAAAAGCCAGTCGAGTATAAGGAGGAACCTTCTTAAGATGAATTTTTTCCTATTACAGATCTCAAAACTATGTATGATCGCCTAAACGCGAAATACTATGTAACAAAAAAATTATTTATAGCAGACATGATACGGATTTTCACAAACTGTAGATTGTATAACAGTCCTGGCACTGAGTATTATCGCTGTGCCAATGCCTTGGAGAAATGCTTTCAGAAGCGCATGAAAGAGGCTGGTCTTTGGGATAAGTAGAACTCTCTCAAACACGTTAATATAATGACGTTGGCAATCGACATTTCCTAATTTATTCTCACTACTTGAAGTCAAATTATTTTATAAAGAACGTTCGTACATACCGATATATAATACTGCTTTTTGTGCAGTATTTGTACAAAGATGAAACGATATCTATTTGCGCGGAAGTGCACGTCGGAATCATTAAGAAACGAAGAAAAAAGGACATTAAACATGTTTGTTATTTTGCCTTTTGATCGATTATGTGTGTAAAATATGTAAGCGCCTATAAACTTATACACGTGTAGTCCAAGATATTTGTAAAGTCATTTTTCCAAGTAGCTGTACTTGACAAGTGCGCGATCATATTTTTCTTTCCAATTGCTTTCTCCATGCTATTCTGACATGCACCTCTCGTTCATTGGATATATATATATATATGTATGTGTGTATGTACATATGAACGCGTGTGTACAAAAGTGTATATAACTGTGAAGTGATGCGTGTCGCTTGTCTAATTTTAATCGGGTATTTTATATAACATGACTCGCGAATGCGATTGTTTATACGTGGTCATTTTATCACCAGCACCATGCCGTTAAAAATGTTAGGAGTGGTTTTATGCAAAAGTTTCAAACTGGAGTGGGTACTTAATTTCACAGCCTAATTAGTATCATTAATTGAACAGTTAATTATGGAGCATAATATGGCGATTGTAAGGACGCTCTGGTAGGTGATCAGTCTACGGAACAGCGACTCGCTGTAATGTGCGCTGGTTTGTAAAATATCCATAATGGAATAAAGCTTGTTATCCGCAAGTGATGCGAACGCAATGAGACTAGACTGCGATTCAGTCTGCGACCGCGTTGATATATCAACGAATCAGTAAAAAAGAAACTAATATTCATTCTTATTCTTAAGTTACGTTTTTCGATATGAAGTCTTCTTGATAGCTCTAAACAGTACAAGTTCATTGTAAAATTTAGTAAATATATAGATAATTACTCTCTCTATTGCAATTCCTGCGCAAATAATATAAAAAAAATATCACACAAGTATCTTGAGGTGTACATCGATTATCTATTTTTAGAAAGCTACACACATTTGTAGGAGGCAATCTAAAACAATTAAGACATCTTGGCCTGTTGCCCCATTAACCTCATGAGCTTTCGTTACCTCTTTTTGTCCAATTTTGTCACCCTGCGACACATGTGGGCAGAAATCGTAGAATCGAGAAACCTGTATCTCAAAGCCTCAATGACAACTTGTAGAAATGTTACTGTTAGTTCTCTAGGACATAAGTGATATAATTTGCATATCGTGTAATTTAAGAACCAAACAGAATAATGAAATAATAACTTGTTAGCTTGAGAGATAGAAAGATAGAAGTAGATAGATAGATGAGAAAGAGAGAGAGAGAGAGAATGAAAGAGAAAAAGAGACATTTATATTTATCACGATTTATAGATATTTTTAGTAGATTTTAAGGAACATTTTGTCTTGCATAGTATTTGTTCATTCGAAAAATTTCTGCAAGTGAAATTACATTCTTCTCGCGGTCTATCTAAAGAAATTGCGGTCCACCGAGAATTTGCAGAAAAATCAATGCAAGACTCGAAAAACGCAGGAAGGCGTATGCTCTAGTTACCGCGAGAACTTTGCGCATTCAATGGAGATAACATTACAAGCGGTTAGTAACTGCCAGTAGTAGTAATTGGCATGCATTAAAGAGAGCAATTAAGTACGGTATTAAAAAAGTCGCTAGATATTTTTTAAAAACGCGTAATAAATATGCAAGAATCCTATCTGATGGACACACAGTGTTTTTGTAATGACGACAAATTACGTCTGTATATTACATCGCGCTATGTCGTATCGCTAAGGTCGGAATGTTACTTTTCGCTTGTTATACGCTCTTCTCATTTATGTATCACATTTGTGATATTTGTATATTTCATTCGCAATGTCACGCTGACAATGTACGTTGTATTTCTCTTATTAACAACGTTTTTGTCATGTAAACTTGAAAGGAAACTCGAGCAGTTTTCACTAAAAAAAATCGCCCAATCACGAATCCGTTCTACAGCGAGCGCGAAAGTATTTTCTTTGCACTTATTATGAAAGAAATCTGCTACTATTAAGCGGCTTCGAAGATCCACCCCGGTTGTTCCCGGTTGTCTTGGCGTAAAAACGGATACTCCTGTGCGGCCGAGCAACAGTAACAGGAGGGGAGCTCATATAAAGCGACTCTTCCTTCCAGGAAAACACAATGCTCCAGAAGCCAATGTCACGTGAGGACGGTGTAACATCTAGTCCATTTTATCCTCTCCGATTGTCCTAGTTATCCGTTTGCGCCGTTAACCGAACACTAATTTCAACGTCGTCACAACACTTTATTCAACACGTGGAGATAATACACTCTTCCGAAATGTGCGACGACGACGTGGCCGCGTTGGTGATCGACAATGGGTCCGGAATGTGCAAGGCAGGGTTTGCCGGGGACGATGCTCCTCGAGCCGTATTCCCATCTATCGTCGGAAGGCCCCGATATCAGGTAGAGATATATTTGGAGCAACAATGCCTAAAATAATGAATATAAAACGATAACATTATGCAAGATTTAGCCTGAATTTCGATCTCAATGTGAATCAACATTATGTTGATTGATTCACATTGCAATTCAAACTGAACGTAATGTAATTTTATCGTTATCCATCATTTTTTAAGCAGGGAACTTGAGTAAGCGGATTTCTTTGTCGAGCATGATGTATTCTAATCAGGCGTGTTTAGGGAATTATGGTGGGCATGGGGCAGAAGGACAGCTACGTCGGCGATGAGGCGCAGAGCAAGCGAGGCGTCCTCACCGTCAAATATCCCATCGAGCACGGCATCGTCACCAATTGGGACGATATGGAGAAGATCTGGCACCACACTTTCTACAACGAGCTGCGAATTGCGCCGGAGGAGCATCCCGTTTTGCTGACGGAGGCACCGTTGAACCCGAAGGCCAACCGCGAGAAGATGACGCAGATCATGTTCGAGACCTTCAACACACCGGCCATGTACGTCGCTATTCAAGCTGTCCTGTCGTTGTACGCGTCGGGCCGCACGACCGGCATCGTCCTGGATAGCGGCGACGGGGTGTCTCATACAGTGCCGATTTACGAGGGTATGATTGTTTCTGCTTGTAATTGATCATAAAACAATTTAGATACAATGAAGAAATGAGTTTGTATTTTGATGTATTTACATCACGGTGTGTCATACCTACCTACTTGAATTTAATTGCTTATATTGCTGATCACGACTTGTATTACCGATGTTGATACTTTACTGCTCGCGTTTATTTTGTTTATATATCGGGTTTTTTGTTTTTTTCGATTGTTGCTTTGCCTTATCTGACTAAATGTACTTATATATGTAAGCACAGCATATCCTATGTTCTACTGACACATGATAAAGGGACTTGTCTATGTTAAATAAATAAATAAATCGTTTCACAACCCACTATACGCTCATTATTGTCATTATCTGGAATAAGAAATTGCTGTCAATTGCATGCTGAGCTTGGAGAAGTCGTTAATTGCACTGATATCTTTAGAAGAAGAACGATAAGATGACGTGCGATTTGTTTCAGGATACGCGCTACCGCACGCCATCCTGCGCCTGGATCTGGCCGGTCGCGACTTGACGGACTACCTGATGAAGATCCTGACCGAGAGGGGCTACTCTTTCACGACCACTGCCGAGCGCGAGATCGTGCGTGACATCAAGGAGAAACTGTGCTACGTGGCCTTGGACTTTCAGCATGAAATGGCGACGGCCGCGGCGTCGAGCGCCCTGGAAAAGAGCTACGAATTGCCGGACGGCCAGGTGAGGACCGCATCGTGATGTGTTTCACGAGTGCAACGTTCGCACGACTCGCGTGATTAATGCGCAAAGCGCAGCGACCGCCCCTCAGTCGTGGCCTTGAGAGTCAGACTAGCTTTCTCGGCGATTATTAGATACGCCGTTAAAATCACGTCTCGAGGTAACTACGTTGTAATAATGCAGCTGTGTGTGTGTGTGTGCGTCGTGAATTATTTATAAATCCGACGATTATTAGAGATACACGATAAAGAAATTTCAGATGGCGCCAAACAATATCTGGGAATATCTCAATGTATTCTTGCCAATTTGCGAGTCTATCTCTTTTATCCCGACATAAAATTGCGAATATACAGAGTGCAGAAGATATACCAGAATCTCCGAAGCGATGGAGTTTAAAAAAAAGTCTAACTAGTGATATTTATTTGATCTTGGAATGATTTTGAAATGTCCTGTCAAGATCAAATCTAATTTTTATAATGGAGTGTCGTATAATTTTCTTTTAATATAAATCGATTACTTTTTAATCCTTCCGTATTTAAAAAAATACTAAGGTAAAATTATCAATAATTTTATCTCAGTATATGATTCCATTAAAAAATTAAACTTGATTTTGACAGGGCTTTTTAAAGTTATTTCAAGGTTAAATAAATATTACCAACTGATAAATTTTAAAATTCTATTATATTTATCTAAAATATTTTTTTTTTTCAAAAATATATCGCTGACGAGATATCCTGGGACTCTTGTATATTTTCCGCATCCAGTATACAGAAAGTTTAAATTGAAAACGTAACAGAATGTTGTAACGAGCAACGATAGTGGGGAGAGGGGGGGACGTGCGCTCATTATCATTAATCGCACGCGTTCGCGCCGGCAAGCGTTAAGTCGTCATGGATTGCCGCCTGGTCGTGCGGTCAGTGGACGAAGACGTAACGGGGCATGTTGATTCCAGGTCATCACTATCGGCAACGAGCGCTTCCGCTGTCCGGAGGCGATGTTCCAACCGAGTTTCTTAGGCATGGAGTGCTGCGGCATTCACGAGACGACGTACAACTCGATCATGAAGTGCGACGTCGACATCCGTAAGGACCTGTACGCGAACTCGGTGCTGTCGGGCGGCACCACCATGTATCCGGGCATCGCTGACCGTATGCAGAAGGAAATCACAGCGCTCGCGCCGGCCACAATGAAGATCAAGATAATCGCGCCGCCCGAGAGAAAGTACTCTGTATGGATCGGCGGCTCGATTCTCGCCAGTCTTAGCACGTTCCAACAGATGTGGATTTCCAAACAGGAGTATGATGAGTCGGGTCCCTTCATCGTACACAGAAAGTGCTTCTGAGAACGCTCTTGTAACTCCATCGCCGCTCTTGCCTCCTCGAGATACTCCTCGAGCGATACCCGTGCGCGGGTTGACCACATCGAGTGATCGAGAGAATTCCTCGAGACCGAGTCGCGTCCTCTTGCTCTTCCCGGAAAATAATTTATCTGCCGAGTAACTTATTTTCCGTGAGATTTCTTCTCTTGTGCTTCGTGCGAGACAGCTTCCTCAAAAAATGTTTCACTGAGAAACAATTTCCTGCTCATCGAGAAAACATAGCGTATACAAATACACACACACACACACAAACACACATTATGATTTCTTCTCTCCTGATAATAATTCCTGAAAATAATGTCTTATTATCGAAGTAAGTTGGATCATAATCGATGAATTTGATACATAGTTGTATCAATTTTTGTTCTATATTGTACCCTGCGAAAGCATCCTTAGAAACCATCCATTCATCCTCCGTAAATGTTTGATTTCAAGAATTTGCGTACATCGAACAGAGTGATCGAGATTCAATGGTCTTTTTTTTATTTCTAAAATGTACTCGATGTTATATACATAGCAGGATGTTTAAGGCAGATCTGGGAGGCTAGTCTCTTTCTTCATGCCTCTCTCGAAACTCCCATACACAACTTCTGACACACACACAGTACATCTGCCGTTAGAAAATAATGCCGTATGTTAGAAAATAATAATTTATATATTTCTCAGTCGCGCAGTCTATACCTGTAGACGTACTAAGAACTCAATCGGTAATTCCTGCTAGAAAAATCGTCATTTTTTTACACGATAATTACATTCGTAGTATCGTAGCATCTAAAATGCCGTTTTGTTCATGAAATAATTTTCACGGACGGTTAATACACTATCTTACAGAATATGTCAGTTGTTGTATACATATATCTTAAAAAGTAAGAGACATAAAAAAAAGAAACTTCGAAAACCGTATACCTCTTCGAAGAAAGACGTGTACGGTTTTCCTCGAGCTTTCGCGCGTTCAAGCTGAGATAAATAATTATTACGTGTCAGACGGCGTCTTAAAATTATGCGACACAGCAGATCTAAATATGCGAAAATAACGTGTTGTTATCTGCTCAAACTATTATTCACACATCGATTCCTTATATTCGTAATACCACAGTTTCTTTCTACAATGCAAATGTGAAGTCGGAATTATATCACAAATCTAGGACGCCATTCTCAGAACCCGGTTAGCCGTCCTCCGAGGGATTATTGACATTTGGTGGATCGATAACGCTGTCTGAAGATAGCACGAATGGAAATCCGTAAAAACTAATATACGTAGAAATTTTATTTACCAATAATATAAGAATTCGAAGCACGAAGACAGTGGACTTAACTTTATGCTTAATCGAACTGATTGTGCTAGAAAACGCGTGTTATTTTAAGGAACTTCGTACTTCGGATCGTTAAAACTCGAGCCACTAGTCGCGTTATCGGTGACTCTGCAATCGTTTACAACAGTACTCGGAATTAGATGATATTTCGAGTAGATTTCTAAAACCTACTATGCCTCCCTTATCATTCCCACTTTATCGGCCCAACTGCCGATCGCGCATAAGACATCCCCCGAGAAGTATCCTCATCTAAGAAATATGCTAGTACTTTAGTGCTAGGAAATTGAGTCCAGACGTACTGGTTCGATTTCTCAGCACTATCGTATCTTCCGCTAAACCGCCATTAAAATATTTCTCTTGCTCATACACACACACACAAATTCTTATTTTCGTTATTAATTTATGGTCATATCTCTAAAATTTAGAGATATAAAAATATTGTAATATACACACATATGTATATATGATGTACACACACACACACATGTGTGTGTGTGTGTGTGTAATACATCATAAACAGAAAACGTAATATTTAATTATTTATGAAAATAAAAAATAGTATGTGTTTATGTGAGCAAGGAAAATATTATTTTAATGACAGTTTAGCGGAAAGTACGATCCCAGCCACATTTCTTATATGAGGACGCTCCTAAGACAAGATGTCTCACGCGCGATTTGCAGCTGAGCTAACAAAACGGGAACGGTAAGACGGGATAGCAGGCGTCAGTTTAGAAATCTGGCCAAAATATGCATCTAATACCGAGCACTGGTTTACAATGTCCGAAGTTCCTCCCTGTCCGCTTCTGTGACCGGAGAATTACACTCGAATCTCGATACAGCGTATTGCTTGGCAATCCTCAGAAGTAACGGACGCTGTACCGAATTCGCTTGCAGCTGTAAAACGCGGTTTACAGATTCTTACTCGTAATATAATAGATATACGACATACAGGTTGTATCAAAAGGCGCCCAATTTCTTTTAGTTACAGATTTTCTCGACGTAAACTTTGTCACCTATTTTTGTTTTCAACTGCACTAGTTAATATATATCGGCGATTTGTTCTGAAATCCATCTCTTAAAATAAAATTTACTCGAAATTAATAGTTTAATATTAAGAAGTATAGAATTACTTTACAATTAGGCCTTCTTTTTCAAAATTTCCAGGAGACGTCAACCTTAATTCGTCAGAGAATCTGTCACTGAGAGGAAGCGCGCATTTTCTGAGACACTCTGTACAATAAATATATTTGTACTGTAAGTTTTGGAGTTAACCAAACGCGAATCGTTCGCAATGATGCGCAACTTTTCAAGAGCAGTGACGTCTTCCGTCACTAAAGCTATTATACAGAATTTATAAAACACCAAAAAAGGGGCTACACAAGATTTAAAAATTGATTATATTTTTTTCGCGTTTTATATAACATTTTATAAGATATTAGCTTTTTTTTTTACCAAAAGTGTATGCCTTCGGTGTACATGGTAGTTCCATCAACGACTTTTACAATAGCAAAAATCATACTATTTTACAAACTTGATATAAACTGCTTCGTAAAATTGTAAAAAAAAAGAATTTTGCGAATATTAGCAATATCAACTGATCAAAATCGAACAAAAGTTTCCTGATCTTGCTCAAGTGTTTGATGCACCTGCAAACTGTTTTCGTTATATTGTGTGATACATATTCGTAGTTACATAAATAAAATGACCAACACCGAGTACAAAGTGTAGAATAGATGTATCAAACAAATATTGATGATGAATTTACTTAATCGACAAAAATGTAGAAAAAAAATAGACTATATATACCTGCTGTATACATCGCAGATGTTTAAAAAGTTAATAAAAATATCTTTGGTGCCCCTATATCTCGCGTAGCAACGAAAAAAGAACACTGATTCAAAAGTGTGATGAGGGAGCAATACTATTCTCAAGATTTAAAACTGACGGTCCAGATAAAATCAGTTCTGTCCATTTTTATAAAAATTTATCTCCTAGACTTTTCTTCTACTTGTAGATTTTCTCCTACTTGTTGAACGTTTAGGACGTCGACACTTTATCCGCGTTGTATTCGACCAAGGTAAGGAAAATTCACTGAAAAGATGAAAGAAATTAATAATTGTTATCGTTTATAAGATACACAACAGTATTATAGACGAATATATTTTTGCAAAATTATATATATATATATATATATATATATATTTTATATATATGTGTGTGTGTGTGTGTGTGTGTGTGTGTGTGCGCGCGTATATATATATATATATATGTGTGTGTGTGTGTGTGTGTGTGTGTGTGTGCGCGCGTATATATATATATATATATATGTGTGTGTGTGTGTGTGTGTGTGTGTGTGTGCGCGCGTATATATATATATATATATATGTGTGTGTGTGTGTGTGTGTGTGTGTGTGTGCGCGCGTATATATATATATATATATATGTGTGTGTGTGTGTGTGTGTGTGTGTGTGTGCGCGCGTATATATATATATATATATATGTGTGTGTGTGTGTGTGTGTGTGTGTGTGTGCGCGCGTATATATATATATATATATATGTGTGTGTGTGTGTGTGTGTGTGTGTGTGTGCGCGCGTATATATATATATATATATATGTGTGTGTGTGTGTGTGTGTGTGTGTGTGTGCGCGCGTATATATATATATATATATATGTGTGTGTGTGTGTGTGTGTGTGTGTGTGTGCGCGCGTATATATATATATATATATATGTGTGTGTGTGTGTGTGTGTGTGTGTGTGTGCGCGCGTATATATATATATATATATATGTGTGTGTGTGTGTGTGTGTGTGTGTGTGTGCGCGCGTATATATATATATATATATATGTGTGTGTGTGTGTGTGTGTGTGTGTGTGTGTGTGTGCGCGCGTATATATATATATATATATGTGTGTGTGTGTGTGTCGAGAAACTTACCTTGGAGTAAAACTAGGAATAGTGGTGCCAAATGCAGTTACTGGCAATTGAGGATCCACTTGGAGACTTTGAATTTGTTCTACATCAGGCCACAAGGACGTTATAGTTTCCTCTTCTAGGGACGAGGGACAAGGACCAGTATGATTGGTATTGTAGCATGTGGCTTGATGATTTTGACGTTCTTGCCTTTGCTTTAACTTTTCTATATGCCTTTGCTCCCTAATAACATTCATGAAACCAAATGAGAACACAAATTGCATCGTTGCATGTGAGGAAGAAAACATCAAAGATATTGTACAAACCTTATCCTCTGCACATCCCATCGTTTCCTCCTTCTCTCGTCGTTTTCTAATTTCAAATGTCTCTTGTTAAAAATTTCATCGTCCAAATTCTCAGTGCCCTCCATTGTGTAACAACTTGTGTATATTTTCACCCTCCAATTTGGAACTTCTAGAGAACTACATGTTTCTACTGGACTGGATTGTTTGAGACTTAGGATATAACTCGGATCTCCTACAGCAGTGTAATAATGCTCCTCTGTCGTGAGGAAGGACTCCTTCTTTGCAAGAGATTTTGTCTTTCTGTCACTTTTCCTAGTGGGCTCGTTCGAAGACTGGCTTAATACCTTATCCTGTATATTGGAGGACGCGTCAGCATTGACAGTAGATGAGCAGGATAACCCCCTCTTCTTTTTACTGCCTGTAGACAGTGGGGTCGGATCTGATCGTCTCTTCTTCTTTTCCTCCCACTCAAACCTCGTTTCGTTAGCCTCTTGCTTCACCTCGTGCTTGATTGGATTATCCAGAGGTTCTTGCTTAACAGTGGTGATACCACCACTGGTATTCAGGCGTATCTTAAAGCTCTCATGTAAAGTGTTAGTATTCTCGGATTGCAGATTTCGATGCGGTTCACTGGTTGACGCAGTATTGACCGTGTTGACAACACCAGGCGACGGACACGTACCAAGATGTTCGCTATTAGCAGAATTTTCGCTACATTCAGACCTCAGTTTTTGAAGGTTCACCCGCCTTTCCATACGTTCCAGACGTAGTTTCAACTGCAACAAACAACACAAAATGCACATCCATGATCAGCACACTATTACTACTTCTAACACCGCTTTCAACGTCTCTATACGGAGAATCAAAGGCTATTTACACTTCTCGTGTACGGCCTGTGCAAGACTCTCTGCTTCGAGCAGTAAGTCATGTTGAATCGCTTCCTGAGCCGTGTCGTCGTCGTTAAACTGGGTCTCGCGTGAGAAATCAGAGAGGTTAATTCGATGAGCCCGCGCTCCACCATTCACGTCGCCGATCAACGTGAAACATTCGAGGCCCGGCACGATTTCGTCGACTTGAACCGACCCGGATCGGTCGACTCCGGCCATTCGATATTGCTTATTCCGTCGCGTGAAGTAATTCATCCCTCGCTTTAACTGTCATTTTCAAATCGTGATAGCACGCGAACGCGACAAGAACGTTGTTCTCCCTCGCAAAGGGAACCGACCACGCATGTCACCCCATCTTGCTTTCTCTCCCTGTCTTCCTCTTTTTCTCTCTTCCTCGCATTCGTGATATGCGCGCTCTCAATGCGGAAGTAGCGCCACCACGTGTCGACGACGTGCAGTTGACCTTCACGCTCGGCCTGTTCCCCGCGTGGCGCGTTGAGGTTAGAAGGGTAGAGCGGCAAGAGAGGGGGATGACATTCGCGAGCATGTGCGCAGAGCACGTTTTTACAAAATGGTGCCAAAGTCTTGAGTCCATCGTCGCCGGCATTCCGCGGCGGATAACTAGCGAGATTGTAAACGCGCGCGCAAGTTTGGGCTAGGTTTCGTTAGGTTAGGTTAGGGTAATGCAGTGCGCTCGGGCTTTTTATTACGATCGATGTCGCAGAAACGACGATGACAGCGTGGAGAGTGGATTGACGTTTTATCCGTGTGACATTTACGGCCATGAGCCTACTTCTTTCTCTTGATTCACGTGTGATTTGTCAGTCATGGACAACGATAGTTTTTTTGTATTCTTAGAAAATGGACTCGATAATCGTACATATGTCAGAATAGAGGAATGTGAACTCGTGAGAAATGAAAATTTTCTAATTGGAAAGCATTCGTTCGCTTTTCCACACTAGAGGAAAAGATTCACGATCGCTTCTCTGCAGGACAAATCGGATACGGGAAAACACACTCGATGACTCCCTGCCGCTCATTTCACTTTGCTCTGTCGCATCTTTCAATCGACAGAACACAATATGATTTAAGTGAAAACGACAAATGGACTTTCGGAGCTTTCGTCCAAGCGTCTTTAACGCTAAGATAGATCCTCGTGCAGCCTGATACTTGTGTGATTTTCTCTCATCGGCGAACAAAATTAGACCAAAAGCAACAACAGATAGCTTCATCTCGTGAAATAGAAGTTATCAATCGTCAATGCCAGAGGCATGTATTGTTAACGTATATTTGAACGCTAAGTACGCCCTCTTTATTCCAAGTTCCGTTTTTTTATTGTTTATTTACTATGGCTGCATTCCGAAATTCATTGCCAGTACTGAAAATCTATAATTCATGTAACGTATACTATAGAATTTCAGCACTGGCAGTGAATTTCGGAACGCAGCCTATAACTTCGCACAAGCATCTCGTGTAAAGTTATTTTAGCTTACGAACAAGATATACTTGACGTTCAAATTTTCGCGCCAAGAATACAGGCCTAGCTATTAATCAGAGATTTACCGTGAACGCTCTCTATTAACCGTATTATCACGACATAAAATAAAATATCTGATAAACGAAAATTAAGGACTCTGGGCACTTTTGCCATGGCCATCTTGATTTATGTTGTCAGAAGCGAGGAAGTGCATGCCCAAAATTGCTGCAAAGTACGTCGAAACAAAAAAATATATCCAAAAAATGACACAATTAAACACAAAAAATATTCCGAACACTTTCCTTCTGCTCTAACAATCGATAAATAATGAAACTAACGTGACAAAATAATAAGAAATATGTAGGTTAAGAAGAAAAGTTGTATGTCATATATTGATCTTGTTATGGTTATTTATAAATTGTTGGAGCAAAAGGAAAGTGTTCGGAGCATTTTGGAGATGTGCTTAATCGATTAAAAGTGCCATTTTTTTCGACGTCTTTTTATTTTGATGTGCTTTTGCATTTTGAGCATACATTTCTTCGCTTCTAACGTCACCAATCAAATGTTCCGCGACGAGGGGCCTTGAATAAAAATGCTACAGAAGTGAGTAGATAGGTTAATTGTTCATTTCCTAAATCGCCGATTGCTGTCACATGTCAATTAAAACCGGCACGCTAAGATGTGTGGAAAGAAAATCGACGATCACTTTGGAACGTACGTTATTTCAAGACCTGCACTTTTCGGGAAACAGTAGAACTCCCGCTGCACAAGGAGAATACACACGTCACGTATGACAAAAACCCCTATTCTGAATCTTTCTTTGTCTTTTCAACGATAGAAGTGCCTCTAAAGGCCGATTTTTTTATAGCAGTTCAAACTTAGACTCAAGTTTGGACTCTTCCGATAATGTGTGTTTATAAACGAAGTTCGAACTTAAATACAAGTTTCAACTTCTATTGAAAAATCGGCTCAAAAATGTGCTTAATAGTCAATCAGAAAGCACATAAATTACACTCGATGGCACTTTTGTCGACAAAAAAGAGTCCAGAATAAAGGTCGAAGGAACGAGCAGTCTTCTGTGCGATCTTCAAAGTCGTTTCGAAGACGAATGTTCCAATTTTCCAGCGTGATCGATCCGCAAACATGCTGCCTCGCTCCGTCGATTTTGTCGCGACCGCGGAAAAGCCGGAACAATTCTCTCCGCGTGCGTTCATTCACCGGCTAAACGAAGGGGAGGGGAGAGAAGAGCGACAAGAGGGGAGCAACGGGGGGAGAGAGAGAAAGAGAGAGAGAGAAAGAGAGGAAAGAAAGGAAGGAAGCGCTACTCTTCGCGCGTGTATGTACCGTCTCGTTTTCCTGGCGCAGCGCGGCGAGGAGCTTGTCCTTAGTGACGATCTGCTCGGACTGCTGCTGGATGAGGTCCAGGTGCAGCAGTAACAGCTCCTTCAGATGCTTGACCTCGGTGAAGTCGTTCTGGCGAGGTTCGTTGCCGCGAAGTGGACTGACCCCAAGAGCCGCGGCGACGGCGGCGGCGGAGGCCGTCGCGGCAGCCGGCGTACCGCCGTCCGTCATGCTCGCGTACATGTGGTCAAAGTCGCAGGGGAAACTGAGAATACCGGCGGGTCCGGTGGTAGTGGTGGTGGTGGCGGTGACGTTCTTGCCGTCCTCGCCGTCCAACTCCTGGAATTCTTGATTGCGCGCATTGCCGCAGTTGTTAGTAGCGACGCCGAGGCCGCCGCCGGCGCCGACGACAACACCGACGGTGCTGATTCCCGCGTTTGTCGTGCTCGACATCGCCGGGGAATTGCTGTTGCCGCTGACGAGCGCGCTGCTGGTAATCATGGCCGAGGACAACGACAGCGTCGCGACGGTGCTGCTGGAGGTGCTGCGGGCGCCGTTCGCTGATGCCGGCGACGACGAGGTTGTCGTCGTCGTCGTGTTAGACAGGTGTTCGTTCATCGCCGCGACCATGTTGCCGCGCTTGTGCCGATAGCGATGGTTTACGACGTCTTCGTCGTCGTCGTCGTTGTCGTCGTCGTCGTCGTCGTCGTCGTCGTCGTCCTCTTCCTCCTCCTCCTCCTCCTCCTCCTCTTCCTCTTCTTCCTCGTCGACGGCGTCGTTGTCGTCTTCGTCGTCGTCGTCGTCACCGAACAACGTTGACGCGCTGTTCACAACAACGATCGCGGCGGTGGTGACCGTAGCCGCGCTGTTGCCGTCGACTGTCCTCGCGCTTTTACCGGCACTAGCCGGCGTCGTCGTCGTCGTCGTCGTCGTCGTCGTCGTCGTCGTTGTTGTCCGGGGGATCAGCGCTCCGAACTCGCCACAACGGTTCGTCGTCACGACGGCGTCGTCGCTGTCACGACCGCCGCCGCAGATACGCGCTACTATTGTCTCACGACGATTCACCGCTGGCGTCGTGCCGCGGGCGTTGGGCAACGTCACGTCGCCGAAGCAGTCCGTAGCGCCACCGACAACGACGCCGCCGTCGATAACAGCAGCAGTGACTGTGACGACAGGAGAAACGTCGCCGATCTTACCACCACTAGTCGCACCGCTGTTGTCACAAGCACCACTATCACAGCTAAAAGCACTGCTACGAGAGCCAACGCCGGAGGAGACACCACCACCACCACTGCCACCCACACAGCCTCTTTCTCCTTCTCTTCCTCTTACGCCTCCACCGCCGATGCTGCCACTGACAGCGCCGGTGGCGGCGGCAGCGGCGTCGATATTGTTTTTCTCACCGTTCACGAGTCGCTCGGGCCACGGCGAGCCGCCGTTTGACATCTTCTTGCCGCGCTCGCGATCGCGGTGGCTGCGTCGCCGCGACGGTTACCGCCCGCATTTGCTGCGCCCGTTGCCACGAGCGTATCGAAAACACACGCCCGGCTCGCGCACATTAAGCGTCTCTGACGTGCGCGTATCGCGCCACGGACGTGACGGACACGATGTTCCTCGCCGCGAGCAGCCGTCGTTGCTCTAGCTCGCGTTCTCGTCCGTCTCGCAGTAGCTCCCGGCTCTACCACACACAAACGAACGCGACGCGCCGCGACACCCACGGATACGGAGCGGCCGATGCGGCCTCTCGTCGCTCTCCTGCCCTTTCACCCTTCCCCGTCGTTGTCGTTGCGTCGTCGTCGTCGTCGTCCTCCTCCTCCTCCTCCGCCTCCTCCTCCTCCTCTTTCTCCTCGTCGTCGTCGTCGTCGTCGTCGTCGTCGTCGTCGTCGTCGTACGAGGGGAAATTTTCACGACGCACGGCCCACCGCCAGTGAGAGCGTGCACGAGGTGTGCGCGCAAGGCGCTTCAACTTTGTGTTTACTCGTCGCACGGACGAGGTGAGTTGCGCGCCGCGCGACGTCTCACTGCTTAGTTACTGGTCGTTTATTGTTACCTTCGGAAGGACAGAGAGCGAACCTCCGCAGCGCATTATTTCGCGAGATCCGCGCGGCGAACCTACGACAAGATTTTTAACCAGATCGACGGTGTCTTGCGGGACTGTTTGTGTTTCTCTACGACTGCCGTATAATCGATGTCGATTTAATATCCTAATTTAATATCCTAATGTGTTTCGTAGATCTAAATACATCCTTACGGCATTAACATTCAATCACGCTTTAGAGGTTACGAGTTTTGTTCTCTGGAACTAGTGAAGACTGCAACAATTTTTTTTAATATTTTAGTTATTTTATAATTAGTGTTAACAAGAACACACACATGTGTGTGTGTGTGTGTGTGTGTGTGTATATATATATATATATATATAAATGTATATTAAAACTATGTTATTCTTAATGAAAATTGAAAACCAGCAGAGACAGATATTTAATATATTGTTAACAATTCTACTTCTATTAAACTTCTTTTTTAATTTTATCGTGCTTAATAATCGATAGTATGTGCAAGATTTCACAATTTACGTAGTATTTCAAATTCTACATTAAAGAAGTGATAATCCTACAAGTACATTACACACGAAAGTTTAAGGATTACTGCTCCTGATAACGATAGATAAGCAAAATCTCAAGAGCTATAATTTCTGTAAAAATAATAATGAACGAGATGGTTCAAGGAGCATTTTACAACTTGAAATCTCTATTTTATAAATATATTGTTAAATATATAATTTTTTAATAATTTTACAAATATGAATACAAATTCATTGAATGTTAAAATGTTACATGAAGTTTGTGAAGTTATACCGCTTAAATAAAAAATCACAGACAAATGATTCAGACAGCTTAAAAACTTTCTTTAATTTGCGTACTCGTACATTGCGTCGTGATTTCTTTTCATCAAGATATTAAACGGAAGAAAAATATTATTTTGGCTTTGAAATCTTACAAAAGACGAATAAATCGATGTAAACGACGTTTTCTAAACGTTTTTCTAAAAAATTAATAAAAAATAGAAAGTTTACTCTTTAAGGCTCTGCTATCTCTGGGGCGACCATATTAGTTTGATGACGTTAGAAGCGAGAAATGTCATACCGAAAATCCCTTGCGTTTTATCGCTTTATTTTTTACTTTTCCCTGAAGAACCAAATATTTTCCTGAAACTTGTAAAAAGTACAGCAAACTTTGATATCTGACTGATATATCACATAGCATTGTAAAATAATTCCTGAAATAATGCTTCACATTTTTCGGCTGTCACGGTGGTTTGACAGCTGAGATATCAGCTTGTATGAACACAATTAATTTCTCGATTTTCACAATGTATTATCTGTATCACTGAGTTTGCTGTACATTTTACGGCTGTGAAGATCACGATAATATACACACTTCACGGAGAAACTGAAAAATAACACGATAAAATGCAAGTAATTTTCTGAGGTGTCAAGCGAAGACTAGCGTAAGCCTGGCCAAGTGTCAGCCAATCAGCTACGCTAACATAGTTATTTCATGTTCTCGACAGGGAGCGTCCCGATTGACACAGTACGATTGGACACAACCAACCGATGAAAAGAATTATCTAGTGAATTACTAGGTAGAACCAATCATTACAATCTATGTCCAATCGTATCGTAGTCAATCAGGTCCCACCCTTCTCGATACTGCTAGGCGCCATCTACACGTATTGTAGATCGGGACTTATGGCTACGGTTGCAGCAATTTGTGTGATTGTGTGCCCTGAACGCTCAGCGGCGCGCCA